TCCTGTAGTCAGGCACCATATAGTATGGGCTTGAGTTTAAATAAGATACCGAGAAAAGCCCAAAAGTGGTTGATATTTAAAAGACAGGAGATAAAATTAATGACCTCACTTCCAATGTAAGAAAGGTTAGAAGTATAAGATACAACTGCTCCCTAAATCCTAACAAATATCAGTAAAAAATAGATAAGAGTTACTCTCAAGTAAAAATAATATGAAACAGGGCAAAAGGAGCCATTCAGTCTCCTTATAATTCTACCTCAGCTGGGGAAGAATAGATGCTTTATGATTGTGCACTTCCTTTACAGGCATAGGACTGGGTTACCCATTACTATACCTGCACCAGATCTCAAACTGGACTCCACCTCCAGGCATGAGGCTGTGTGCAGAGAAGGCACTTAGAAGAAGCCTTTGCACAGGAACTTCAGTTGGCAATAGGAGAGTATGATGGTGCTCACTGTTAAAGATGGGATCGGGAATGCAGAGTGTGGTTGCAGTTCTGAAGGCCTTTACCGTAATTCCTTTGGAAAAGAAAAGTGGTTCAGAATATTCAACACATCATTTGGTGTTTTATGTGTAGTAGGGTGGTACTACTTGCATATACAGTATTTCAATTTTATACTCATAAAATTACTGTTACTTCATAGGTGTCCCTATGTTATTTCACAGATGAGCATAAGGATACCTGAAAATACATAATTAAGGTCTTAAGAGTTAATAGGTCCCAGACCTAGAACCAGGGCCTATATTTTATGACTGTTATTCTATTTTTATTGATTAATAGAGTCAGGTTCTTGATATGCAGATCAGGCTGGCCTTGAACTCACTATGTAGCCCAGGCAGGCCTCAAACTTACAGTAATCCTCCTGACTCAGCCTCCTAAGTACTGTGATTACAGGTGTGTGCCACCATGCCCAGCTGGTATTCTTACCAAAGTCCATCTCCCTAATGCAGTGGTGGTGAACTTATGGCATGCATGTTGTTTTTCTTTTAAGATAAAAGATGTTAATGTATAAGTTGTTTTTTCTAAACTAAAACCTCAGTATGCAGATTTAATTGGAGTGTTGGCACTTTGCAATAAATAAGTTGGCGCTGGGTTGCAGTTTGGGCATTTGTCTCTAAAAGGTTCACCATCACTACCCTTAATTTCTTATGATAATATAGAAGAGATCCTTTTTTTCATGAACAACATAGCTGTAATTTAGAAAGGAGAGAAAAGGTATCCCCATGGTGGTTCTGTTGTATACTCCCTCAGTATCTGCTATCATTTGTATGTAGTTTGTCTCCAAATATTTCATATGCTGGGTGCTCAGTGCCAGGATAGTGATTCTTTTAGCAGTAACTATATGGAATTCCCTAACTGCCTAAATTGCTCATAGTGACTGTATAGATTATAACTACGATGAATAGTAAGAGTCAACTATATGTGACTAAAATGATATGCATGTAAATTATGCAGAATCAGATAAAATGTAAATAATTGGTAGCTCTAGACAAAGGTTATATAGACATTTTTTGTACTATGTTCTGTTCTATTCTCTCTTTGCTGAATCATTAATTTGTTTGGGTTGGCCTTGAACTTAAAAGTTTCCTGCCTCAACTTCTCAGTAGGCTAGGATTACAAGTGTGCATCTCCATGCCTGGCTCTTTGTCCCACAGTAAGTCCTCAACTTAGAAACCTTGAGTTGTGACACATGTGAATGGACCTGGCATAATGAAGATTCATAGATGTGAACAAATCACGGAGGTAGCTCATGTGTCTATTTTACCATTTTTGGGTAACTGTAAAAGTAAAAATAAGTTTACTAGTTTTTTGTGGTGTGTGGTTTGGTTTATGCTTTACATGTATATTTGTGTCAAAGGTGTGTAAGAGTCAACTCTGTCAGACTTATGAATGAATCTGACTTATGAATGTTTTCCCAGAACAGAACTTGTTCATTAAGCTGGGACTAACAGCATTTGTGTAAGTGTTCTGTAAATATGAAATCATATCAAAATAAAAAGTTACAGGATGGGCAGAGTGGCACATACCTGTCACTCCAGTACTCTGGGAGGCTAGGGTAGGGTGATCTTAAGTTTGGGCCCAGCCCGGGCAACTTATCAACTTAGTGAAGCCATGTCTCAAAATATAAAAAGGGCTAAGGAGGTAGCTCAGTGAAAAACCTATGGGTTTAATCTCCAGTACTGCAAAATAGATAAGTAAAATTTACTTAGTCCATCTCCTGTTTTACTGCCTAGAGAACACTAGAAATATTCAGCAACACAAAATCCATTCAAGAAAAAGTATTTTGTAAGTATATCTAGTCAAAGAACTATACAATAATGAAAGGGCCTAGCTGGGAATGAAGCACATGCCTGTAATCATGGCACAGAGCAGGCTGAAGCAGGAAGATCATGAGTTTGAGAACAGTTTGAACTACACAGAGTTCCATACATGGGTGTCCTGCACTGCACAGTGAGATCCTGTCTCAAAAGACAAAAAAGAACGAGAACCCCTAATTGACCAAACCTACCATTTTCAAGGAACTCAGATTCTCTGAGCACACTGGACTGTGAGTCCTGAAACGGAAAATAGTACTGGACATAACAATCTGCTTCTCCCCAGACTGTTGCCTGAAGAGGGGTCAGTCCTTTAACCATCTCTACACGGAACTCAAAGTGGTGCTCCATCAGTCCATTTCCTTGGTCCTCTGCCTATTAAATGAGAGAGAAACACTGGTGAGCTTTAAACAGTAACTTGCTTAAAATATTCCTGCTTCCTGATGAAGGCTGAGTATAGATGAGGAAATAAGTGAACTGGCTAACACTAAAACAGATACTTAATTTTACTTGTTACTTTGAACTCTCACAGCTGCTCAGTGTAACAATACCAAGTAGGATTTTCTCTACATTGTGACACTGAATTCATACTAGGAAATTCATAAATGTAATTCTATGCATTAATGGAACAAAAGTAAAAAAAAAAAAACAGTTCAACATCAATAAATGCTTAACAGGAATGTGATAAAATTCAACATCAGTTTCATGAAAGTTTTTAGTATACTAAAAGTAGAGGCTATTTTTTTAATAGGGAAATAAACAGGTATTAATTTACTTCATTACTACTATCTCTAGAGACCCTGGGAAAGTCCAATAACAGTAAGGACTACTTAGGGAGGTAGAGTACAGCATTACTGCACATATAATTACTATGAAAGATTAACCATGTATTTATTATTTACTATGAGCCTGGCTTTGCATCAAATACTTCGCTTGTATTACCTATTTTAGTGTGCATAGCTAATAATATTGGAACCAGGGTTTAGACTCAGTCTGATTCTGAAGCTAGTGTTCTTTATCTCTATCCTATACAGCCTCTGCAGACTTTAGACAACTGGTTATTAAAATAGGAAAATTTAGGACTCAGATAAGAGAGACAGAATAAATTATGTATTTGTCATTTTATGAGCAATAAATCTGGAAATAGACATTCTACTAGGTCTTTGCTTTGCACTCTAAAAATGTGTTAGCAATACCTGTTCAAAACCTTTCCAAAAGTTTTCCTAGGAAACTTGATTCTGATTTAAAAAAATTGGCGTGGGGGTAGGGATCCCTCAGAGTTATAACAGCTGCTTGATTTGATTATATAATATTACAGTATCTATATAAGTAACAAATCTTCTTTGATTTTTTGTTTCATCACCTATAAATTAGAATGACCTTATAGAGTTGTTAGGGAAATAAAGTATTCCTTATAAGTAATTTAACATTTCAGCTCCACAGATGAACTTGGTCAAAGTTGTTAATTATGGGAGGAAAATCAATCATATTTATAGATATATAACCTTAGAAGCAAGTCTTTCAAGGATTTCCTCTGTGTTCATAGTAGGAAATATTTTCTAACTTTTAGTATGGAATTTAACAAAATCTGAGTGTCCATTGTAAAATGGTGGTGTATATAACACTTAAAACAGACTTGGGCATATTATATAGATAATTTATCTTTACTTATATAATTTCAATAGGACAAGTATCATTTAAGACACTAGTATCTAACAAACAGCGAAGGTTTAGAATTTCTAATATACAAATATACAAGAATTTGCTAATAGATATTTTTCTGATACAGACATTTAAATTTGTTTTTGAAATTCAGAATCAGATTAAAGGTGTAGAGACAGTGATTTGGCAATAATAGTAAAGACAAGGAATGCTGGATGTCTAATGCTATGATACAATGAAATGAAAACTGAACTTGGAGTCAGAAGACCTATGTTTGAACTCTAATTCTCTCATTCTCAGTTATGTGTATCTCTATAAGTAACAAAACTTCTTTGATTCTTTGTTTCATCACCTATAAATTAGAATGACCTTATAGAGTTGTTAGGGAAATAGAGTATGTCATAAATAAAGTTTGCTTTCTCAATTACATAGCACTATATACAAAATTACTTTTAAGTTACTTATAGAAAAACAAGGCACTTTATGACTTTTCAACATGGATTTAACCAATGGAGTGAGATTTTGCTTACTAATGTTTGGGATCTCTCTTCTCCCAAGTTTTTTTAAAGGCGATTAAGTTAGTAAATTAGAAAACTAATATCTGATTGTTCAATCAGATATTCCTTATAAATTCAGGGAGCTGAGAGGGAAACTAAGAACCATTTAAACCATAAGAAAAAAAGTAAGGATAATTCTTCTGACTTAAAGCAAGCACTGGGGACAAAGTTAAGTTCTCTTGTTGAGATTTCCATTACTGAAATAAGGCTTTGGGGTAACGGTTTCACTGAACTGTGCAAGAGAAAATGGGATTTTAGTTTACTGTAGAAGAAACGGCATGGAGGCACTACCATAGCTACAGATGCTGCAGATGGCTGGTCCAGGAAATGGGCTGGTCTTGGGCCAGACGGAGGAGGTGTTCCATCTTCATTCTTTAATCTTTGCAGTGCTATTATCTGATCTGAAGAGCCCATGGCTAAAAACACTCGAAGACTCCCATTTTGGTGACCTGAGAATACATCAATCACAGGCATGTAGCTGTCGACAGCAACAACTGGATACTTAGCATCAAGCAGCAGGCGAGAAATCTTTGGATCTCTAGAAGAGAAGAAATTGTGAATGAGCAAACAACAACAATCAGTCATATTAGAGTTGCTACATTTCTTACATGGCTTGTTTTCTCTGTCAAAATGGATCTACAACTACACAAGTAAGATTTTGCCAGTAACCAATCAATTAAAATTACAAGACAGTTGAAGTTCATAATGCAACAGTTTCAGGGCTGGGAATATATGTGCCACATCTGTACCACCATGGGCCCAAGCCTAGAGTCTGTCATGTAGCCTCTCAGTTGAGCCTTGCTGAGTTGCCTTTTTGTTTATTTTTGGTGAGATATGCCATGCAGTCCAGTGTAGACTCAAATTTCTTGCCTTAGCCTTTCAAGCGTCCATTATATTATTTTAGAGGGGGGCAATGTAGTGATCTAGGAGGTGTGGACTACTATGGCAGATAAGATTTGGAAATTCTTTTTTTTTTTCTTTTTTCTGGTACCGGGGATCGAACTCACAACCGCCTGCTTGCAAGGCAGGTGCTTATGCTGCTGAGCTAAATCCCCAGCCCCCTGGAAAATATTTTCAATGATGTGTGCCATCTATTGAGCATATACTATGTGCTAGGTAACAGTGTTTCTAATTCATTTAACATAGCAAAGGGTGATATTATTCACTGTTAACATGTAAGAAAAGCTCAATTCAGATAGGTTAAGTAAGTTAGCTAATGACACAAAAGTAGTAGGAGGTTAAGCTGTGATTTAGACTTTAAATTACTGTATTTGATTCTAAAGCACAAATGCTTGTCATTATACTATACTGAATTCTAGCATTGGCTCTCCCACTTACTTGTTAGATGACTTAAGCAATCAATTTGACTTTTCTGAGTCTGATTCCTGCTTTATAAAATGAAGGTAATTAAACTTTCATCACAGGCTGTTGTGGGATTATGGTATGATAAAAAATATAAAATACCATCTATGATGCTTGGTAGAAGGGTAAATGCTCAGTAATTAGCAGCCAATATTATTTTATACTCTCTCAGAAAGAATGAGAAGAGAACTGGAGGAAAGGGAAGATCAAGCTAGGTTAATATCACAATGATCCTGACAACTGCTCTAAAAGAAACACAGGGGATCTATCTATTATCACCCTCATTTTACAGATAAGGAAAAGAAAACCAGAAAGTTAAGTGACTTCTAAGTAAAAGGACAAATTTTCTTGTTTGTAGAACAGGGACAAATAATGGTACTACACAACTTACAGGAAAGCTCAAATGAGATAAAGGCCACACAATTACAACGTTTAAAAGACAGAAACATAAGAGAGCTTCTAGAAAAGAGGTAAGTGCTAACGTAATTAAAAATTTTCACTTTGAATAAAAAAATGAACTGTATTAAGGACAGAAATAAACTTTAGGTTATACCCTAAACAGGTGTTAAAAGTGAGGTACAATAATCCAATCTAAAGGTCTAAAATATAGCATGTTTAACAGAAACTTTGCAAATAATGGATATAAACCATACTGACATTTCATGACCCAGAGGTAAGGTGTTAATTTAGTGAGATGGTACCTTTCAGCAGTAGAGCTTTTTTGGTAGAGAACAGACTCCTGAGCAAGGCTATCCAGATACTAAGCCTGGTTCTATTCTTAAGGCATTTGTGACAAGTAGTTTAACTTGAGTCTCTGTTAATGCATCTGTACAACAGGGAAATAAAAGTACCTGCCTCAGAGGTTTTTAGAAGATTAAATGACTTGCTGTATGAAAGGCTCAGCACATGCCTGAAACATGGTAACAGTATCTGTACCGCTATTTTACAGTAGCAGAAAGAGCAGCAACAGTGGTGAACCTGAGAGAGGTCCTCCAAGGGATTATTGAGCTATTCATGTTTGCAAATGAAAAGAATTCCTCTTCAGTCCACACAAGGTAAAGACAAAAAGTACAGAATACTCCAAAAAGATCCTATTTACTTGAATGACACGTAAAACTGATGGAGAGGGAGTTTCACCAGCCCGAGCAGCTTGTCCTGTCCTGGGCTCCGCACCTTGTTCCAAGTTTCAATTATCATCACATTATTTTTAAGCCTTTCCAGGTATTTGGAAGACAGAGAGATAGGAATCACCTGTGGAGAAAAACACCAACAAAGAAAGTCCATATCTGAGACAAAGGATCAATTTGTATTTTTTACTCAACAAACATTTAATGTGCACATACAGTGTCAGGAGCTGAAGACATTAAAACCCTCAACAGAAATGGCAATCTGTTGTTAGAGAGTAACACACATAGACCGGATACAATCTAGTATTTAAATGAAATGGCCTTGTGTAAAAAGCTCTGCTCAGCATGTCTTATGGAAAATGGTAAGGGCAACTGTTCTAGATTTTTCATGTAAAATTATTCAAGAACTGACCAGCTATTCTTTTTATTTTTTATCCTGCTATTTTTTTAAATTTTTCCCTTAATTAAAAAGATAAAAATAAAAAAGTAAATAATAAAAAGGGAGACTGAGATAAAAGAGGGCATAATAACAAAACAGCACAGGTTAAAACATATCCATTTAAGCAAAACAGTGTTTTACCACAAGATATCTTGACACAAAAGTAGTTACCATAGTGTTTCTTTCCTTGTGACCAGCTATTCTTGAAAGAGAAATTACAGGTTATAAAAAGAATCATAGATCTAGAGGAAAGAGTAGCTCTGTTAAATTAACAGCACAAGCTGGGTGTGGTGGTGCATGCCTATAATCCCAGCACTTGGGAGGCTGAGGCAGGAGGATCACTGAGAGTTTGAAGCCAGCCTGGGCTACATAGTGAGAACTAGGTAGTGAGAGACTGTCTCAACAAACAAACAAACAAACAAACGCAATCAAGGGACCAGCAATTTAAAGGAACTCAAGCTGTGGAAACAATTACAATAGTGGATGAAACCAATAAAAATCTTAAGCAAGAAGAGTGAAACCAGAAAAAGGATAAGGTCTGATAATGCGGTCTGATAATGTGCTCTTTGTAAGTGGTAAGGCCTTGGATTCAATCCCTGACAACAAACAAAATATATATAATGCATTATCAAAGACGCTAGAATGCTTGATGTGTTAGTGCATCCCTATAATCCCAGCACTTAGAAAGCTGAGGCAGCCGGATCATGGCAAGTTTGAAGCTAGTCTGGGCTGCACACTGAGTTTAAGGCCAGCTTGAACTTGAACTACATAATGAGACCCTGTGTCAAAAAATAAGAAAGTAAAAAAGAAAAAGAGAAAGACACTAGAACTACAGAGAACCAGAACAGAGCTACTTTTATATTTACCTAAGAAATTCTAATTACTTAAGTATTTGTAACTTTTTTTGGGGATCGAATTCATGACCTCATGCTTGCCAGGCACATGCTATGCACTGAGCTATAACTCCAGCCCTGTAATTCTGTTCTTAAAACCAGAAGTAAAATACAGCAACCTACTCTAAATAGGAGGTTTAAGAGAATCCTTAAGAAAGCAAGTACCCCCAAATGTTTAGGCTGAACATCAGTTACCTAGAACAAAATGCTATGCCTAATAGGTATCATATAGTCTGAGAAAAAAAAATCAAGGTAGAAAGAACAGCACATGTAAAGTTATAGAGGATGGGGAAGAGAACATTCAGGAAATGGCGAGCAGCTAAGCACAGGTAGACTGTCCACATGCGGAGAAGAATGGTGGAATTGGGAGGGAGAACTGGATGCAGTCAGTTGTTAATGGCTCTTGGAGTCTACACTAAGGAGTTAGCCGATCCTGAAGGCTTTAGTGTTAGCTAGGGAGTAAAATATTCAGGTTAGTGTCTTAGAAAGCTCATTCTTAATGGTACATACCGGAAGGAATGGAGAGAGAGGGCAGAAGTAGAACAATCTGCAGTTTACTTGGAATGAGTGTGAATTTGAATGGAAGCAATGACAACGTAATGGAAGGGGATGCATTCCAGAGATAGCTAAGTTTGTAGCATCTATTGCAGTCAATAATTATGTAGGAATCAAGGATAACCTTCAGGTTCTACTTAAATTTCTGAGTAAATTATAAAACAAATTAATTAATGATTTTTTTGGTACTGGGAATTGAATTTATAATCTCATGCTTGCTAGGCAGGCACTAGGGTGCTGAGCTATCCCCCTGGCCCAACAAATTAATTTAGACAAAAAGAACAAATTTGGAAGAAAAAATAAATTTGGATTGGACACATTTAAATTCCTTCTTTAATTTGCACATTCTTAATTAAAACCTCATACATGTGAGGCAACATGTTAATGCTAAGTCTTTTGAGGCAATTGTTCAGGTGGTGGTGACTGGCAGGCAGTCAGATACGGAGATGTGAAATTATGACGATATATATAGCTTATGCAGGAATACAGATTTTTTTTTTTTTAGATTTTGAGATCCGATAACTTTATTAAAACCAGCACCACAAGACCACATTTCAGTGAGACATACAGCGGGTGGGGAGGCAAAAATATACATCTGAAATAAATTCAGTATTTTAATAAGGTAAAGAAAACCCCCAAATTTCACATTTCAATGGAGTTAAACCTACCTCTACCAGTACAATTCCCTTGTTTCCCCAAGAGAATAGAAATGAGACAGCCTATCATCAGCTTCATGTAGCAAAATACAGAAATACAGATCTGGAAGTTATCTTCATAAAAATGAAAGCTGAAGCTGTAGGAATAGATGTGATAATCATAGGGAAAAGGAGGTGGGTTTGAAGAGAACCAGCAAGAGTACTAAATGGGAGCACTAACTGGTTAAGAAAAAGGAAAAGTTCTGGGGTCACCAGAACTTTCCTTGATTTTCTCTTGGCCTGATGACGTAAAACAGTCAGGATTTGAAATAAGCAACTGAGTGACAGCAAAAATATATAAATAAAAAAATAAAGTGCAAGAAAGCTGGGGAAGTTTAACTCATTGAAGTTCTAAAGGAAGCAGAAAAGAAGCGAATCCAGAACTCAGACAAAAATATAGAGGGTAATCATATGAACTGAGAAATAAGAAATAGAGACAAAATGTTTTTAAATGTTGGCAAAGTTTTCTTCTTTCATGAATAGATCATACCCGGTAATTATAAAGTTATCTTCCAGTTTGAATGTTCTAGATTTAAGATGGAATTATGATCATAATTAAAGAAACCTTTCTGGTAACATACTATGCACATGACCCCTGAAAGTACAGCCTGCCTTAAGATAGAATTATGGTTTGGGAAACAGTTTGTCTCCTATCACCATAACCCTATAACTGATACAGAATGCACAAAGTTACCTGAGAAAAGTTAAAGACTGGTTGGGTTGTACTCCATGCAGTGACAGATCTGGTAACTTCCTCTGTGCTGAAGAATTTGCAAATTAAATAAATATTACATGGTGGCTGTTTCTGAGATTCTCCAGTAATGAAGTCTTTCCCATCTGGCACCATCAGTAGCACATGCAACAGCAAAGCATTTTCTGTTGTTGACTCATTTGTCTGATTTACTAAACTGTGAGAGGTTGGCATAGTCATGAAGGCTGAAGAACTTGTTGCTACAGAGATTGGTGACTTTGGGCTGGGAAGCACAAAATTCTGGGCTTTTCTTGTAGTTTCCTCATGAATTTGCTTTAGGTTTTGTGGATTTTTGGTACAGGTAGTATCTTGCTTAGACTCTTGTAGAATCTTCTCTGGACTTGTAGCAGCACAGGGTGGGGTATGTTGGGTATTGCTGGTTAATTTAGTATTAATACCTATGAAATCCTTGTTATCTCTAACAAGTTCCATGGTTACCTATAAAACATAAATGAAAAAAGTAAGAACATCCTGTAGAGAGTTCAATCCCTACTAACATACACACACACATACACAGACACACACACTGTCTTGTAGAACTGGAATTGGAATTTTGGAGCTGGAGGTAATGTCAGATTATTAGGAAATGAATTCAACTCATCCTTAAACACCAAAATAGGAAGAACACCCAACAGACTGCATATTTATTAACTTGTCACTCAGAAAAATCAGTATATTATCATTAATACAAGACAAGCCTAGATCATCTTAGCTAGAAAATAAAGAGATGCACTGAAAAAGATGGATATATGCTTAAAGGACACAAAATTCCATTAAAGTGGCCCTACAGGATAAACCTAGGATAATCTGAGCATCAAAGTGAGTATCAGCAAAGGATTATAACCCATGAAATAATATAAGATTACATAAATCTATACTAATGTAAAATTAATATGAGAAGGGACACCTATTTTGTATAATAGAATGCCAACTAATAAACTCTCAGGGAGGCCACAGGGATGTAACTCAGTGGTAGAGTGCTTGCTTGCCTAGCACAAACAAGGTCTTGGGTTCAAGTTCAATCTGTAGTACAATAAAAATTAAAAGCACAGAGAATGACAGTTAGAAATCATTGTTTTACAATTATCTTAATAATATGTGATTCAGGTAACTCTAGTAGCAGGATACTCTACAAAAATAATTGGCTTTTAAAAATCATTTTCTGAAATGATTAAAAAAAGGGTTATGGAACTATTATAGATTAAGAGAGATTAGAAAGAAATAATGACTAAATGTAAATGGACTGGAAAAAATTACCACAAAGGAAAGTATTGGAACTACTGGTGAAATGTATGGGGTATTGATAAAATATTTTATCAATGTTAAACTGACTTATAAAACTTTAGAGTATTATGCACAACAATGTCCTTGTTCTTAGAAAATACATGAAATATATGCTAAAGAATTAAGAAAATAGTCATAATGCATGTAACTGTTGTCATATAGTTTAGAACAAGTGTACGTATATGTTTATGAGTGTGCACATATATTATATATGTGTTATATATGGAAAAAAGGGACAAAATAGTAGACAGACATATAAAGCAAATGTGACAAGTATAAAGAATTGGAAAGTCTAGGAAATGGCTACGGGAGCTCTTTATACTATTATATTTGCAGTATTTCTGTAAGTTTAAAGTTATTTCAAAATAAAAGTTAAAAATGTTAAAAGCATTTTTACTGTTCCTTTTATTTGAAACCCATAGATATTACATAGCAAAGTTCTTTTGCTCAATTAAATACAGGCAGAAATCAATCTAGTATAGTACTTCCCTCAATAGCCAGGACAGAATA